ACCTTCCAAGCAGATTGTTAGTGATGTACAGACATTATCTAGTACCATTCAGGTTATTCAAGACCAAATAGACTTGTTGGCTAAAGTAGTTCTCCAAAACAGGAGGGGACTAGACCTACTCCTCCTAAAGAAGAGTGGCCTATGTGCCACTCTAAAAAAAGAGTGCTGTTTTATGTTGACCATTCAAGCATAGTAAAAGACGCCATGTCCAAACTCAGAGAAAATATCAAAACTAGAAAAAAAAATACTCTCTGGGGACATCCTTCTCTTCCCTATGGCAAGGGATAGCTCCCTATATTGTCCCCCTCCTAGGCCTTTTAGCTGCTTTGCTCTTATTCCTTAACTTGGCCCTTGCATTCTAAACAAGATTACACATCTGGTGCGGTCACAGGTCTCCCAGGTAAAGATGATGGTCTTGAGATACCAATATGACCCAATACCTACTAATAATCTCTAGGATTAGAGAACCTCACAAGAAAAGGGGGGAATGAAGAGTTAAAACATTCAGGAAACCCCTCCTGCCTTGTCACATGATCAGAACAACCAGATGTTCTGGCCTGTTAGGGAAGTTGTGGTCCAAAGTCCCCCAAAATAAGAGCAGCGTGAACTATTGACCCTGCCAGAAAGGATATGAGTTTTCAAAAACATCAAGCCACCTTCTTCTGTAACTGATGCTTGCTTTGCGGTTTTCGACTTTATATACTCTGCACTTCCCTAGCTGGGCACTCTCTCACTCCCCTCTCCCCACCAGAGTGCGGTCAGATGGTCCCCCGCATGCGTGGACAATAAAACCCCTTGATTTTCATGAGAGCTGGCTCCTTGGGGCCCTCTTTGCGATGGTGATCTTACACAAACAAACACCATTAAAAATAAAATGGCACAGTGTATACTGTAAATAAATCGAAAACACTTGTATGTATGTGGGAAAGAGAAAGCAGTGGCCCCTTAAAACAAGGCTGACTGACTACACAGCACCGACTCTCTCATGCACAGCAAATCAACTGACAGTGCTTTACTGGGTCAAGACCATGGAAAGGATGCTGTGAGAATCGTTGACCTCCACTGACCTTGACTGTGGGGCTGTGAGACTGTGGGAGAGGGAGCGAGTTGACAAGTGGGAAGTCCACTGCTTGCTGAGATTTGCCACCTCTGGCACTGATTGTTAAATCTGATTTCCTCAGGAGTTTGATGAATGCTTTACACACACATTGTTTTAAGAACAAAACTGAGGGACTGTCTGTTGCATAAGTACAGGGGAGACATGGAGCTCTCCTCCTTGCCTGCAGGCCCACCTCTTCCAGCTCCCTGTTGGTCTGGTAAGAACAGTGGAGGCAAGGAACCCCGCTCAAGCCCAGCTAACTGTTTTCTTCACTTGGGGCCCAGGATCCAGCTGCCTGTGTGTCACATAAGTCCAGTGGAGGCATGGGACTCTTCTCTTCGCCTGCAGACCGGCCTTCTCTGGCTCCCTGTTGGTCCAGTAAGACGAGAGGAGGCAGGGAACCCCACCCAAGACCTGTGAACTGTTTTCTTTGCCTGGGGCCCAGAATTCGGCTTCCTGTTGAAATCAGTGAGTAAGGAGGAAGCAGGGACCTCTGTCCCAGCCTGGCTAACCTCTTTACCTCACGTGGAACAAAACTTGAAGAGCAAAAATGTAGGAAAATGACAAAATGAAGGACCAAAATGCAGTCTCAAACATCCAGCCCATCCCAAGACACCCGAGGAGCCATGTGCATAGAAGAAAATATATGCCGCATACCTGAAATACCTGAAATAATAGTAACTGAAATAAAGAAGCAACTCTGGGAAGCCTTAAAGGAAATCAAACTAGAAATAATCTCTCAGATAAAAGAAGAAATGATAAAAGAAATGAAGGAGATGCTGAACATATCTAAAGAAGACACAGTTAAAAAACTTGAGGAGATAGACAAAAAGATAGAATCCCTGGATGAACAATATAAGAAACAAACATAATATATAAAGCATATGCAAAGAGATACACAGGAAATTTAAAAACTCCATCAAAAGTTGTAAAAACCGCCTCAATGAATGTGAAGATAGAATTTCAGACCTTGAAGACAAGATTGCAGCCAGTGAACAGGAAAGGAAAGATCTTTGTAAAAATAACAAGAAATCAGAAAATAACAATTCAACACCTGCAAGATGATGCAAAAAGGAAACAACATAAGGTTAATAGGGATAAATGAAAAAAAGGAGGGAACAACATAAAGGATTTCAAGAGGATATTTAGAGAAGTGATCACTGAAAATTTCCCAAACATGAGACTGGAAATTGATATTAAGATCAGTGAAGCATATAGAACTCCAAATAGCCATAACCAAAATAAAACTACACCCAGACACATAGTAACAGCCATCCCAGAAAACAAACAAAAGAATAGAATATTAAAAGCTGTAGGAGAGAAAAGACAGATCACCTATAGAGGAAAACCTATCAGAATCACAGCAGACTTCTCAGCACAAACAATAAAGTCAAGAAGAGCATGGAGTGAAGCATTTCAGATCCTAAAGGAAAAAGATTTCCAACCTAGGCTGATGTATCCTGCAAAATTATCCTTCAAAATGGATGGAGAAATAAGATACTTTCATGACAAAAAACAGCTGAACAACTACATGATCACCAAGGCAACCCTGCAAACAATACTGAAAGACAGCCTAGATGCATCTAGGAAAAAAACACTAAACAAAGCAGACAAATAAACAGAACTGAAAGACAAAGATGCAACAGCAGAAAGATAACATGTCAAAATGAACCAATATATAACAGTTATAACCATTAATGTAAATGGTCTCAATGTACCAATTAAAAGAAATGGACAAGCAGAATAGATCAAGAAACAAAATCCAAACATAGGCTGTCTACAAGAAACCCATCTAACCCAAATGCATACCCATAGACTGAAAGTCAAAGGAAGGAAAACAATACTTCATGCAACAGGAACCCCCCAAAAAAGAGTGGGTGGCTATTCTGTTTGCAGACAGTGTGAACTTCAAGCCAATAATGATCAGAGGGATAAAGAAGGACACTATATACTGGTTAGGGGAAAACTCCAAGAGGAAGATATAACTATCTTAAATGTATATGTACCAAATTCCAGAGCACCCAGTTATATAAAACAAGTATTAACAGAAATGAAAAACCAAATCAGCAGTAACACAATTCTAACAGGGGATCTTAACACACCATTGACACCAATGGACAGGTCCACCAGACAGAAAATCAGCAAAGGAATAAAAGAAATAATTTGCACTTGTGAACAAATGGACTTAATAGAAATATACACAGTGTTCCATTACCAACAAAAGAATACACATGCTTCTCAGCAGTACATGGGTCATTTTCTAAAACAGACCATATATTAATTCACAAAACATGAAAGGGTTGACATTATCCCTTGCAGGCTATCAGACCAGGATTCTGTAGCAAATATTTTATGGCATTGCTCTCTCTAATTTATGTACATTGCAAGGGAAGATTTATTAAATTCTACAGGTGGCAGTGGATTCTTGAAAACCTTGAGCTCTATTTCATATTTGTTGGTTAATTTAACCTTCTTCTTGGACTTAAAGATAGCATACTAGACAGCTGAATAATGTGACTCATATAATTTGCAATTACAGTTAGTAATACCACCTCTTTGGGCTCTAGTTATATTATCCGATTTTAAAAATGCAAAGTCTTCTCTTTATGACCTGAAGCTACAGAATGTAGAGCATCTGACTGTGAATGATGACCAGAACTGTCTGTGAGTCTTCCTCCATCCATTCAGGGTATTCCTAAAATGATTGCCAACAAAGCTCTGCAGCCTTATATAAGACTATCTTTGCCTGGTTCAGCCGGCCTTGTTTTATCAGGGCACATGTGTCAACACAGACAGTTTTTGGGTCCCTTCTGGAAGGTCTGGTTTCTCTGCATCCACTTTTCCCCAATTGCATGGAAATGCAACACTGATGATGGGTTTCCTTTCCTCAGTCTCCTCATAGTCTTGTTTGGAGATTTGGATGAGATTTATATACACATCTTAGCATTTATCATAGTGTTCCAAATGGTACAGAATTCCTGATTATTTATTCAAACTATTATTTTTCTTACATGGTGGTGGGGACCAGTATTGGGTGCTCAGGACCAGCAGCAGGAGCACAAGACCAAGAAAGGGGGGGGGGCTACAGGAGACCAGGACAGGGTTCTCAGGACCAGTTTGGAAAGCCTTGGACCAACACTTGGACCTGGGGATCTGCAGGGAACCAGGAGAGCCCCATAGTTGGTGCAGATAAGGAAGCTCCTGACTTAGGGCTTCACAGCTTACATTGTCTGAGTTTCCCCTCTGTGTTAGCATCACACACACTGTGGAGAGTGCACAATGCCTCCTCTCCAGTTCACAGGTGATGTCTCCAGAGTGGAAAGAATGGAAGGGATTTTGGTGTTGACAGAATATAGTTACTATATTGCTCTTCAACTGACATCCAGATGGAAGGCTGCAGCAATATACATATTCTGAAAAAAAAAGTATTCAGATCTTGGGAACATAGATGCTTTGAGATAAACAGTTCTCATGATCACCATGCAAACGTAGTCTTCTATTTTTGTCACCATGAAGGAACTGTCATATACAGCCATAAATGTTTCAGTTTAGGAAAGAATAAAATAAAAATATTTACAGGAAGGGAGTTTTATGGAAAACGACAGGAGAATTTATTAGCATACACACTAGGGTTAGCATCTGCAACCTGTAAAGTTACCAAATTCGCTAACTACATATTAGTGAGAATAAAAAAATAGATGAGGTTACACATAGGAAGAAGCCATGTGTTCTGTATATTAGGGATATTACAAAAGAAATCTCAAAACACTCTCATGTGCTTTGACCCCTTCCTTCTCTGAGGCTTACATCACAGAGCTGCCCATATATACAGGAGTCCATGCAAATAGCATCTCTGTGTGCTGATAAAAACCAGGCCAGCCCTCACCCTGCAGCTCTGCAGAGGACCCCAGTCCTGGTGCCAGCTGTTCCCACTCAGTGATCAGGACTGAGCATAGACAGCTCACCATGGAGCTGGCGCTTAGCTGGGTTTTTCTGTTTGCAATTTTCAAAGGTAAATCCTTCAGAACAAAAGATGCTACCGGCACCAGTGAAAATGCATAGGTTACACAGTGGACATGTGCGACAGTTAACTAAGCAGGACGTCTCTGTGTTTGCAGGTGTCCACGCAGAAGTACAGCTCACACAATCTGGAGGAGGCTTGGTACAGCCTGGGGAGTCCCTTAGACTGTCCTGCGTGGCCTCAGGATCAACCTTAAGCAATTACTGGATGGACTGGGTCCGCAAGGCTCCCGGGAAGGGGCTGGAGTGGATCTCAGCTATCAGTAACAGTGGTAGCACATATTACGCTGACTCCGTGAAGGGCCGATTCACCATCTCTAGGGACAATGGCAAGAACGCGCTGTATCTTCAGATGAGCAACCTGAGACCCGAGGACACGGCCGTGTACTATTGTGCAAATGACACAGTGAGAGAAACCTCAGGGGGAGTCAGTCATAAACTTCCGTGCAGGGACGCTGAGGACCAGGAGGTGTCGCTGTAGAACACAGCACAGACTACAAAAGGACATGCATTTTACCATTTTATTTTTTGAGGGTTAGCTTTATGACACTTTAAAAAATGATGTTATAGGCCAAAAGAAACATAAAAGAAACAAATTTTAAAATCATAAATACATAAAATACCACTAAACCTCAGAATAATAGATTCATTCTAAAGCCCACAAAAGCAAGAAATCTAGTGTAACAAAATAGTGTATTAGAGTTTGCTATTGTCCATTATTGAAAGTGTGTTTTGCATTTTGTTGCCTTTACTCAAAAACGTTACTATCTTTTTCAGTGTTTTATAATGTAAAACAACTTAGTAAAATACAGTATAAATTTGTAAGAATGTCGATAAATACATCATCACACATGTCTCTCACAGATAACATGCTGGAAAAATGGACAAAAAATATCCATCAGGTGATACAATTCACATTTCCATATACTCACAATGAAAAATCATATCATACTGTCATAAAAGGGACTTAAACCTATGCTTTTAGAGTATAATTTAATTCATTAAAATCATGATAATAAGTACTATGGCATTTAGAGATTTCAGTAATTATTGAAAGTTGATCAAAACTTCTGTGAAATATTTTTCTAAAGTATGTTCTAAGCCAATGTTACTAGCAAATGTCATGCATTAATATTTATTTTCTTTCCCAAAAAGCTCATGGACAAACATCAAAAATGTCTATGTATAGCAAAGTTGAGATGGCACTGAATCATATGATTGTATCATTTTTATCACCTCAACTGTTTCAATGTTACAAATTTATTCAATGAAAAAGCAGTACGAAATCAAAATGTTTCTGTGTTTTCAGGTGTCTGGTGCAAGGTGCAGGTGGTACAGTCCAGGAGGGCAGGCTTGGTGCAGCTGGTAACATCCCTGAGACTCCCCATGCAGCCCCAGTGCTCACTTTCTGTGACTGCTGGATGAACTGGGACTACCAGCTCTATGAAGGGGCTACAGGAACTCACTGAGGTGGTGACATACACTGTGCTGACCCTGTGAAGGACTGATTAGCCATCTCCAGAGACAGTGCCAAGGTCCCACTGCATCTACAGATGAGCAGCCACAGATCCGCGGACATAGCCCAATGTTACAGTGCAAGAGCCACAGTGAGGGGACAGCAGTGTGAGCCCAGTCACAAAGCTTCCTGCAGGGCATTCACTCTCTCTTTGTCATTCTGACACAGGGTTTCAGGCTAGTATTGAACTCACTTGGTAGCCCAGGCTAGCCTTGAACTCAGAGGAATCCTCTCACCTCAGGCTCCTGAGCGCTGGTCTTTTGGCTCATGTCATTATGCCCATCTCTTGGTCTCTTTTCAAGGGGTGCACATCCACACTCCACACACTCAGCCTGATCCAGAGTATGTTTTTGCCGCCATTGTCCCATTTCCAGAAAATCCATTCCCACACTTGCTCATAAGGCCTCTGCTGCTAGGAGTTAGGAAAACAAGATGTTATTGGAAGAATAGTAGACCTCCTCATGGCTCACACTGTGCCACTGCCCCTTACAAGCCTTGAGGTATTTGAACCTGTTTATAGACCTAAAGGTCTAAGTGAGTGCTGAGTGTGGGACATGACGAATGTCAGCATTATCATGCTTAGTATCACAGGATGAGTTTCCTCAGGTAAGAGGGGGAAGGCCAACATCACAGGCATGTGTGTGGGAATACCTTGGGCGCTGTGAGGAGGGAAATTTCTCCACCCAGCAAGATAATGTCACTAGAGTTCAGGAGTTCAGTATGCTCCACCTCATCTGGGTACTCACAGATATCTCCATCCCAATGCACAGAATCTAATTCTTTCCCATAAAGCACCCTCATTTTTATTTCAGGCATCTTTTAAGACTGAGCATTACAGTTATAGTTTATGGTGTAGTCAGGATTTATAAGGAAATATGTTTAATAGAGGACACATAATTTATAGGATGGTTTTATATTATTTAGTGGACACCAGAGACCCAGGGAATCCAGCTAATGACCGGTACAAATGGCAATGTCCTCCACTAGTCTAGATGGAGGCCTACAGCTCACAATAATGTCCCATACAAGTCGATGTCAAGAATCTGCAACGGGAAGGCCCAAAAGGTCAGTGGTGGAAACTAGAAAGTTTGCACCAGTTGGATGAAGGATCTGAGCTGTAGGCTGAGGGATCTGAACTGCATCCATGAATCACCCCTGTAAATCATTGTCTGAGCTCTGCCAAGATGAGCAGCATCCATCTTCCATGACAGACAAAACCTGATCTCTTCTGCCAAGGAGAACAGGTGAGTTTCTGTCAGGAAAACCACCAAAAGAAGCTTCTCCAGGAGCATCAGTGACAAACCACCTTTGGTTCCACTTCCGCTTTTATGTGCTGGCACCAATCCTTAGGTGGGACTTAACATCCAGAGCCATGCTGACTGAGTTCAGCCAGGTGTCACAGATGACCATGGTTAATTCAACACTATTTATATCAGGCAATAAAATTATCAGGACTATTATGGTTTGAAAGAACAAATAAAAGCTATTGGAGTTGCATTTGGAGAAATAGTAAACCAAAACCAGGATCAAATTCCTGGTGGGAATAGTGGATTTCAGTGCCCCTATTCAAGCTTTGAAAGATGCAGGGCTGCTGGATCCAATCAATTTATATTTCATTCTATCTGGCCCTTGCAGAAGATTGATTGCCCCTGGAGAATGTTAGTGAATGACCATGAATTCAGTGAAGTAGCAATTCCAATTGTACTTGATAATTAGATGTGGTTTTTTGATGATGAGAGTGGTTATGTTTCTTTTTTTTATCTCTTCACAAGTGGGATGGAGCTATTGATGTGGCACAAGAGTTCTTCTCCATATCAACCATAGTCACAGGGGAAGAATCAGCTTTCAGAGACAGCAGTCTTAGACCTGAAGTGTCCTGCATCAGGGTTACATTAACTCTCCATCCCTGGATCACAACTTACTCCCCAAGGATCTTGATCACCTGTATCTCCCACAAGATGTTCCTCTGGTCTCTTTCACTGATAATATCATGTCATTTGCACCAATGAGCCCAATTTGGGAACCACTCTGGACTTGGCAGTAGAGGATGTACTAACTAGATTATGGAACATAAATCCAATTAAAATTCAAGATCCCTGCACCTCAGAGAAACTTCTAGGAGTCCAGTGGGATATTCCTAGCTATCCCTTCTAAGTTAAAAGATAAATTGTCACATATGACCCATCATAAACCAGATGCATAAATTCGAGGGGCCCAATTTGGATTCTGACATGAATACAACCTCACTAAAAATTTTGTCCAGCTGTTTACAAAATAATTCCAAACGGTTCTACTTTAGGTGTGGCCCAGGAGGAGAACAAGCTCTGCAAGTGGTCCACGGTTCTGCGTAGACTGCCCTGCAGCTGGATCATATGATCTGGCACATCAAATAGAATTTGGGTGTCAGTGACAGATAGAGATGTTGTTCGTTTTCTCAAGCAAGGTAATTAATAGCAGAGGCCTTTCCAATTTTGGAGGAAGTGTGGGTCATCATCTGAAGATAATTACTTTCCATTTGAGATCCTGCTATTCCCTTGATACTGTTCTCAGTGTAAACTGAAAGCTTGAACAAGAGACACCAGGGTACTTGGCAGTCTAATCTGCCCATTATGACTTGGATATTACCGATCCATTAATTCAAACAGTTGGAAATGCACAGCAACAGCTAATCATGAAACGAAAGAGGTTCACATATGATCAACACAGGGCAGCCATTGGGCAGAAGCAAGTTATGTGAAGAAGCTGCCCACATTCCCAGGGGCTCCTAACCCTATTGCATATCCTTTAGTTTAGCAGCATGCACCTATGGCCTCCTGGAAAGTAGGTCATGTCCAGTTGCAGAGGAAGAGGACACTGTGACCTGGTTTACAGTGAATTCTTAGCATTGTGCAGACACTACATACATAGCAGCAGAATTACAGGCCCATTAAGGTGGGCTCTGATGTTCAGTAGTGAAGAGAAATCATCACAATGAAAAGAACTTTGGACAGTGCACATGGTAATACATTTTGCCTGGAAAAAACGTGGTCATATTTGTGTCTCTGTGCTGATTCCGAGGCTGTAGTTAATGTTTTCCAAAGTGAGTTCAAGGACAGCCTGAACCTCACTGTGATATCCTGACTCAAAAACCTAATCAAACTTCTGCTCCTCCTCTTCTCTCTCTTCCATCTCCTCCTCATCGTTACCATCATCATCATCATCATCATCATCATCATCATCATCATCATCATGTGAATAAAATGGAAAGTCAATGACTTTTATCATGCACTGCCCCATTGCCCAATTGACTCATGAACAGAGTGTCTATTGTGGCAGAAATGGAGTTCATGAGTTTTAGACACATTTTGGAAACATTTCCGGAATTTTTTTTTTCATTTTTTCCATGGTCAGCTTAAATTTAGCTAAATTTTCTGGATTCTAAAAATTATTACAGCATTTCTATTGCTTTTGAGAGTTGTTTCAGTATTTAAGCTTGGAATTTTTTTTTCTTTTCTTTTCTTTTCTTTTCTGTTCTTTTCTTTTCTTTTCTTTTCTTTACTTTTCTCTTCTTTTCTTTTTGATTTTTTGCTTGGCAGATCCGGGCAGGTTGGATCCCCATTATAGGCAGGAGTGCTCAGGACATTGGAAGTGTGAACCTGCAGATGTTATGTGGCACTGATCTTTCTACTTTGAATGCACAGCAAGTAAATATTTTAAAATTTCTATAATATGAAGTTGTTTCTTAGTTTAAACTTGAAACTTCTGCAGTTGTTAATTTTGCCTTCTTGTGGGAGTCAAAGACAGTGTGGTCCTTACTGATGGTAACTGTGTTAGTTCCAGGTATAGCTGACTGTCTCACATCTGTTAGCTCGAGATTTATTTTCTGACTGTAAAGATGCAAAGTCTCCTAAGTACGACCCTGAGGGTATAGAATGTAGGGCATATGACCATGAGTGATGCCTGCCCATGGGTCTTTCTTCATCCCA